AGAGTAAGAGTTAGCAAACAGGCAAGAGAAGCAGCTAGAAACTGGAGTGCCAGAAGTCTGTAGTTCAAGGAAGCCAGTGGTCTTAGGCTGGTAATGCACTGAGTGTTGGACAACAATGGTCGCTTATAGGTTGGTGATGACTTCCTTATATTTCAGCTGTCTGATTGTGGAAACTATGTAAGACTGATAGGTGGTTTTCTGATATTGAGGAACAGGTATTTGACCTCATATATAAGGATAAAGGCAACTGGGACAAAGACCCACATGGCAGGAAACAAGAAAGGTATGATGGTATCAGTGTTACATTTTTTCTCTTCCTCTTTCTCTCTCCCTCTCCTCTCTCTCTCATTTCCCCCCCTCCTCTCTCTGTCTCCTCTCTCCTCTCTCTCGTCCTGGAGCTCAAACTCTGGGCTTGGGCACTGTCTCCTGAACTCCTTTTTTGTTTGGGTCCGGTTGTGGGGCCTGAACTCTGGGCCTGGGAGCTGTCCCTCAGCTCTTCAGTTCAAGGCTAGCACTCTACCACTTGAGCCACAGCACCACTGCTGGCTTTCTTCTTTTTGCTTATGTGGTGCTGAGGAATTGAACCCAGGGCCTCATGCATGCAAGGTAAGCACTCTACCACTGAGCCACCTTCCCAGCCCCTCCTGAATTCCTTTTTGCTCAAGGCTAGTACTCTACCACAGTGCCACTTACAGCCTCTTCTATGATTAACTGGAGATAAGAGTCTCATGGATTCTCCTGCCCTGGCTGTCTTTGAACCATGATCCTCAGATCTCAGCCTCCTCAGTAGCTAGGATTGCAGGTGTAAGCCACTGACGTCTGGTGAATGTTACTTTCTTTTGTGCTGGTACCAGGGCTTGAACTTGGCCTCACACTTGGTCACCTTTTCTGCTCATAGTTGGCACTCCACTTGAACCACACCAACAGTTCTGGCATTTTGCTTATTGGGAGTTTCTCAGACTTGTCTACCTGATCTAGCTAGGATTACACTCATGAGCAACTGCATCTGGAATGAGTTTTGGTCTGCTATGGGGGAAGGAAGTAGAGGCTGTAAGTATGGGATGTTTAGAGAAATATGATGGCAAAGTTGGTGTAATGGAGCAGTTATGTTGATTTAGAGGGTGGGCCATTACGAGTACAAGCTTAATCATTGGTTATATTGGCAATGCTGGTGTGGAAGTAGGTTTTATCATCCTGGATTCGCAAAGCATCCAAGAGATTTGAAAATGAATGCAAATGTTTCTAAGCACTTGCTCTCAGTTTCTGCATCTTCTTTGTGGAAGTTTTAAGCTGTAGGTTCTGTTTTGAGTGGTACTTGTGTGGTGGAGAAGGGAGCAGAGGATATTCATGTGTATCACAAGCGGCCCTTCTGACTTCCTAAGTAGACTGCTAATTCCTGGTTAGGATCACCCAGCAGGAGTTGCATTCCAATAGTAGAAAAAACTAGAGACAGGAATTCCAAATGTAAAGGAGTCCTAATCTTGAATGAAATGTTTTTACTTATGTCCTTGTTAGTGCTTGAAAGTTATTTGTGGTAATTGGAAATTGTTTAAGCATGTAACTGCTTAAAGTGAGGACCATTACCAATCAGTATGCTAAAGATGGTGGGAGTATTTAGAGCAGTATAAGGAAATGTTAATACTATCTAATGTTAAGACATTATGAATGTTAAGTGAAAACAAATCACATTTTGCTCTGACGTTACGTATAAGAATTATACAAATAAGTGTGATGGCATTTTCAGTAATAAGTGACCAAAGTGCAACTCAACACAAAGTGAACATTTACTACTTTATGAAGATGTGAGGGAATTATGGAGTGGAGCTGGCTTTCAGTGAGTCCTAAGACAAGTTGCTGTGAGGACTCGCTGTCAAGGTGAGAACTGGCCCAGCTGTGCAGGTGAGGTGAGAAGCCCTTTAGATGAGAAAGCTTGTCAATCCTGAGGTCAGAAAAGGTAAAATGACTGGCTCCAGCATTCACAGGTACTCAGAGGTGTGGCAGTGGCTGGAACTGAGGTACCCCAGGGTTAAATCAATAATGTCTGTGTTTCTACCCCATGTAGTATGTACTGCCTCTGAACCCACAGGGCTTCTAAATCAGGGTGCCTTTATTTAAATGTGACTACTGTATAGCTTTCAGTTTCAAAGGATTTAAATAGAACTAGTTTCACACTAATCAGCATTGCATTCAGTTGCTATTTATAATTTGTTATTGCAGCTCAATCATTTTCAGAAGGAATTTTCGTTCATTCTGCTTACATTGCGCAATATAAATACTAAAATAAAGCAGCCTTTTAAAATTACTAGCACAAGATAGAGTAGTGGCAATGGCCCTCTTCCTTACTTCTTCATTGTAATTAGTGATTAAACATTTTAGAGTTTAATTTCAATAACAGTGTTTATTTGTTTATATTTAAGCTACTTTGTAGCTGAACTCCTTGTAACAGAATTTCCACAGCAGGTCTCTTTTACTCTAGATCAGATTTCTGTTATAAAATGATCTGGAGATGTCTTTTTGCAGTTGAGTTTTCTGATATACATATGCTTATGCATGTATAGATCATGTAAATTTTGAGTCAAAGTTTGGCTGTTTGATAGTCTCAGGCCTGCCTCATAATCATGATTCACCTGTATCTGCTTCCCAAGTGATGGGATTATAGATGCCCCATGCCCACCATTTTTAGTCCATATTATATGAAATATGTAGGTTTATTTTCTAAGCTTCCAGAGAGTTGAAGCCATGTGAGAATGTGAAATATGCCCTTCCTAGAAGATATACATAAGCTTTGATTATGCCTAAAATTTGTTTAATCATAAGGTTCAAATGAAAAACAGCACAATTCTTTGTTTTTGAGTTCTGGGTCTAGAGAAGCCCAGGTTTTATTCTTATTTGCTACAGATTTCCTTTAAATGCACTGGCAAGATGACAGGTAAGTAACTGGCCCAATATCTGATTGCGAACTACATCTCTGAACTTTTACTGCTATCTTCAAAGGTGGGTACAAATTAGATTACAATGGTTTGGCATTGATAAAAAATATATACATTTATAAGCTGTTCTTTATATGGCAGTCTTTCATTATCTCAAGTGGAACTCCAAACAGATTGCATTTTTGTAGTAAAAAGTCTTTATTTCCAAAATGATTGGTTAGCCAGAAAGACAATAAACCACCTACCATAAGACTTTGGTAAGAAAGAGATTTGACACTTCAGAATTCCCCATTGCCAACAAAAAAATAACACTCATCTGAGGAGAGTTATGTCACCCATTCTCAGACATTAACTTGTATTCTGGTTTTAAGCCTACTATATCAGGATTAAAAATGTACCCAATTTGAATGAGGATGAATATAGTCAAAGTAGTTTATTTGCATGTATGAAATATAACAATGAAGCCTGTTGGCATTGTTTTAAGAAGTGGGAGGGAGGAAAAGGAGAGTGGTGGGGTGAGTTTAATCATTTGGAAATGTAACAAACGAAACCCTTCTTGTACAAGTAATGTTCATTTTTAAAAAAAAGGTACCTGACTGGAACAAGTGAGAACATGAGACACTGAGAAGCCCAGAGTTATTTAGGAATAACCATCATTGGTTTTTATGAGTTAAGAATGTTATGCATCAAGATAGCTTGCATGATGTTACAAAACAGGCAGATCCTATATCAGATTTTTTTTTTGTCAGTCTTGGGGCTTGAACTGTTGATGTGGGCGCTGTCTATGAGCTTCTTTGACTCAAGGTGAGCACTCTACCACTTGAGCCACAGTGCCATTTCTGGCTTTTAAGTAGTTTCTCAGAGATAAGAGTCTCATGGAATTTCTTGCCCAGGCTGGTTTCGAACTGTGATCCTCAGATGTCAGTCTCCTGAGTCACTAGGATTACGGGTGTGAGGCTTTGGTGCCCAGCCTGAACTGGAAATTTAAACCCCTTCTTATATTAATAATGTTGGAAAAAGCTCCAGGTAGCTAATAATGGCTCCTCTAAAATGTGAGAGCTGATTGAGATGGACAAAATGTGTAAGACCCCCCACCCTCTGAACATTTAAATTAGTTTTTATTGAAATATATACAGGGCTATAGCAATATGTTGAAATACCTGGTGGGTTTAATGCACTCTTTAGTATAGTCTAAGCATTGTATGCATCTTGCCCATGGTATACATATTTGGATTAAGCAGTAATAAAAAAAAAAAGCCTGCAAAAGAAACTATAGTGTGAGCAAACCCTGCTGATGGTGTTACCACTGAGAAAAATGTTCTTTCACACCAACTGTTGGTAGTCAATCTCCCTGAATTTGGTGTGCTTTATGATTGTTTGGCAGGGGATAAAAAAACTAATGGCCTTCTCTGGATATCCATGAGGCCCAGTGTGCTGGTGTGGAAGTCCACACAAAAGTATATTCTTTTATCTGAGTTTCTGAAATGCTTTTTCTGTCTACAATTTTATAGCTAAAAAATAATTTTTTCTGGGGGGTACTTAAACTCAGGGCCTGGACACTGTCTCTTTTGCTCAAGACTAGCATTCTACCACTTCGAGTCACAGTGCCACTTCTGATGGTTCATTGGAGGTAACAGTCTCATGGATTTTCCTGCCTGGGCAGGCTTTGAACTATAGTCTTCAGTTTTCAGCCTCCTGAGTAGATAGGATTACAGGCAGGAGCCACAAGCACCTAGGCTTAAAAAGTAACTTTTATGTATATATATTTTTGTTGTGAGGGAATGACTTTGGGGCCACTGGGTTGACTTAGAAAATTTCTGCCTTGGCCTCGGTTCCAGTATGGCTGTATTAACAGGTTCATAAGCCTATCTTAGAATTATGGCACCAAAAAATAAAGCAACAGAAACAGAACCAGGGAAAAAACTTTTATCTTCAGTCCCCTTTAGCTCCGGTGTAAGAACTGGTTACCTTACAGTGGAATAAGGCAGCCATCATTTTCTTCCTTTGGAGTGGTCGGAGGCAAGATAAATGTATTCAGAATTTTCAGAACTTAAGACTGAGGAGACCTCATAAGAGAACAAAAGTTTTACTAAATGAAAAGTTTTCTGAAAGTGGATAGGCCAAAGAGGAGAAAAGGAAATCTGTTCTCTGTATCTGATGGGTGTGTTTCCTACTTGCTGCACCCAGACACAGAGACCTCTGTATGGATGAGGCCAGAATCTGTCTTGCTTGGCTAGGTGGAGTCTCCACAGGGACAAGCTTCAGTTTACTACAAAGTGACGGACACTACTCACTGTTGTGCAGCTGAGGGCAAGGAAGCCCCACTTGGCCTCTAGCCACCAAGAAGTATTCAGACACGACGGCTCTGGTACCCACGAGACTATTGGGCAAACCACACTGCAAAATGAAAACTAGTGGACACAATTTAAATCATCTTAAACAAGCAAACAATCCAACCATTGGTGACTGTGGAATCTGGAAGAGCGCAGCCCTGGGGAATTTGGACCCTTGCTAACAGGGGTGGACATGGCATGCTCTGATCTCCTTCTTGTCTTTGCAGCTAGAAAACTGAGAGCTTTTGAACCTCTTCTTCACAGTCATGTAGCGTTCTTGAATCCCACCTCCACACAGTTTGGTGCATTCTGACCAGGCCGTCCATGGGCGCATCCTACAGCCTGAAAATACATGCGTTAAGGTTAGGACCAGCAGAATAGGAATGCTGAACTCTAGCAAAATTGTCACATTGTCTGGGCTTCTCCTCTGGGTCCACATGTAATGATGTATTGAAATAATTCATGGTCAGAGTCTGTTGGCTTATATGTAGTAGTAGACTGCCTCCCCCACTCCTCTTAATACTAGGCAGTTTTTTTGTCAAGGGCCAGTCTATTTCTCTGCATTTTAAAGTTAGGTGTGGGTATTTATCTTTGCCACTGGAACATGAGCAGACACATGGTATGAGAAAAGCTTAGTCCATTCTATAATTGTGTGTGTGATTTTGGATAGCCTACCAGAGGTAGTTGTGTGTTTCCGTTGAGAACCTGTTGTGTTTAGGTCTGTGCATTAGGTATCTGCCATACTATAGTCTTATGGAGAAGCTATACTTGGCATAGAGTTGGCCTTAAGGGATCACTGCACTGGTTGGGGACCTGCAACTGATACATATATCTATAGATTTTGGTAATAAGGTTTTGAACTCAATCTAGTACTTGCTAGGCAGATACTCTTGCCACTTGAGTCACCAGCCCATTTGTATTACTTGTATTTGAGATAGGGCCTCATTTGATGACTGTGATCCTCCTATTTGTGCTTCTGTGTAGCTGGGTACATGTCATGACAGGGACATGTCATTGTGGCCAGGCATTGGTGGAGATGGAGTCTTGTGTATTTTTTTTTTTTTAACTTGGGCTTGCCTTCTCTACCTCCCAAGTAGCTAGGATTACAGGCTTGAGCCATTGTGCCTTGCAACAAAGAACAGTGAACTGCTGGGTAGCTTTTCACATCTGTTCCTTTCTCTCATCATCCTTAGTTGAGGTAAAAGGGAGTAATTTGAGCTATGCTTTAAAAAATAATCAAAAATTTAAGCCATGCTAGTGGCTTATGACTGTAGTGCTAGCTACTCAGGAGGCTAAGATCTAGAGGACTAGGATTTGAAGACAATTTGGGCAGGAAAGTCTGTCAAACTCCATTTCCAAAATAGCTCCTAAAACATCTATCTGGAGGCATGGCACGAGTGGCAGAGCACCAGCATAGCAAGCTCTGATGAGTTCACAATCAAAACAAGACCAGAAACAACTACAACTAAACCTGTTACATGGTTGCCTTTAAAAAACAAACACAAAAAACCCTTTTGGGAATCTAAAGACCATCCTAAGGTCTGTAACTAAGATGTAACCCTGGACCTTCGAATTGTATTTATTTGCCTATGCCATTGCACTCTTGGCTTAAGTCAGTTTAATCAGCAGTGTAGCCTTAAGTAGGGATTCCATTTTAATTTTTTTAATAGGACCAGAACCTTTCTGGTCCTAAACAAAACTATCCTGTTCCTCTCTTCTTCAAACCACTCAACATAGGTCTGTTGACCTAAAACCTTCACAGAATCGGGCTCAAGATCCTCAGTAGGCCCCTGTGGCCTTTATGGTTTGGTCTCTCCTCCCTTTCTTGTCTCTGCTCCATCTCATCTGTTTGTACATACGCTATTTGGCATTTCTGTGCCTTGTGTATTTCTGCTAGGTAGATTATATTTTGCTCATTGGAAAACTCCCTACAGTCTAATTTTACCTGCTCTAGTCCTTCTTAAACTGTAGGTACTGTAAGACACTCATTCCACAGGTCCTTTTGCACTTGCTCTGTTTGTTTTATTGGTACAGTAATGACTGATTTTCCAGGTTGGTTCCATGTATGAAGAAGTAAGGTCAAGGCAGATAACGTTGGTAAACTTTGTGCTAACACTGAAGCCATATATGCCAGTGCTGTCTTGTCAGAGCCACACCCTTAAAATGGATACTTTGAGAGGTTCCCAATAACATTCTCTAAGTGATTCTGACCTATCCATGCCATTTATAACCTCCTTTTGCAAAGAGTGGATGGGACTAGAAAGTCATAACTGATTTTGAGCAAGGTTAAGCAAGACTTCTAAGGAAAGGAATTAGACAATTTTGTTTGAAAATTTATACTTTTGGCAGGTAATTTTGTTCTCTTAACGTTTCTTTGATAAAGAACCTCCTCCCATTATCTTCTTTATAAGTTATGCTTTCTTAAAGTCTTGTATGTGACGAATCAAACTGGGGTCTGAAGATCATATCCCTACTCCTTTTTTTACTGAGCTCAGTGCAGGTCTGCAAGGCAGCCTTACCTGGGAACTGCTCCCCATCGGACTCCTCCCTCAGCTGCTCACTCCGCCGGCTCTCTCGGGCCTCCCTCCAGCGTAGCTTCTGGATGGATGGATTTCTAAGGCACTTCCGGATGCGGCATTTCTTTCTCTGTACAGTCTCTGGACAGGGTGCACCTCCGAATTGAGGTTCCATTTGGATCATACGGGTTCGAATCATGTGACCTTTCCCACATGACTTGTTACATTCTGACCACTGGGACCACTCCGTGAGTTCACAGTCAATGGCTGGCAAGACACAGATGAGCATGAGTGTATCTCAGGACTAGAACAAGATAATGTCATTTGCTTAGAACAGCTACCTGTTGTAAGCATATGGAGGGCATTTTTGATAAGGAACGAGGTCTAAGAGGCAGAATGATGGCATCCAGGCCACACAGTAAACAGCAGAGGCAGAACTGGTGCCAGGTCTTGACCTGAATTCTTTCTCTACAACTTCTCCACTGAAGAAGGCATTAGAAGCCTTTGAAGTATGCTCGGAGCTTCTCTGAGCTCTAAACACTGACCACTCAGCTTTCGGTGGCAAAGACCAGCCTCCCACAGTCTGTTGACCCGAGATATTCAGAGCAAATCTACCAGGCCTTGTGCTGTCTGACCTTTAGAGAAAAGTTAACAAGCATATTACAATGTCAAGGGCTCTGGGCTTCTGTCATTCTGTGTCTGATATGTGGCAGTTTGTGAGAGAATCACAAAAGCCAGAAATAGGAAATTCAGTAGGAAAGGGGATGATGAGGAGTTTATAGCTTATCCTGGCACTAGATTGCACAAATTCTCACTAAGCTGGCACCTCACACATGTGAAGGGGGAATAATACATTGATCTGCTTGTCGGGATGTTGACATAAGAGGGAAGTGATTCCAATCTCGCCACTATTTGCAAAGCCAGAGGCTGGGCTGATCTAGGAAGTCATTTTTAACAGTTTTCAGCCTTTTATTCCCTCTGGGAACTAAGGTAGTTTTATCTGCAGAATGGGGATGATGGTATTTTTCTCATTAGCTTGTGATGATTAAATGGACTACTGTTCCCAGCCCAGAAAGTACCCAGTAGATGTTCTTTCATTAAGCCCTGTTGACATAAAGACTTTTGTATGAATTGGTAACTGATGCCATTGGAGGCTCTGGGGCCCTAATCCATGACCTGAATTAACTGTACACCTGGCTAAGTTTTAGATCAGGAGCTGTCAGGGAGGCTATCAGTTAAGGCCTTTACCTCACAGGTACTGTGTTCAAACTTGGTGCCAGTTACTAGGTTTTATCAGACAAACCTAGGAAGTGTCTCCTACTATTTAATGGATGAGGAAATGGAGGACCTGGGATAAGTGATCTACTGAAGGTTATACAGCCCAGCAGGGACAGAGCTAGGATCTAAACTAGGCAGCCAGCTTGAGTACTAACAAGGGGAGGGAAGATGAAAAGATTGCAAATATGCAATAAAAAAGAAGTCAGAAAACAAATCATAGCAAGCAAGTAGGCATGCCTGCCCTGTTCCCAGCTAAAGAGAAGGGAGCTCTCTTGGAAGACTGGCCAGAAAAACTGTTAATCTCACATCATCAAAATTACTGACCCAGAGGTTTTCGTTGGGCAGCAACCTTTTGGAAACTTGGCTGTTTCCTTGCTGTCTTCGTACTAGAGTGCAAGACATTGACTTAATGTCCAGTTTCTGGTCAAGAGTAAAAATAAAATGGTTGCAGGGAGAGGAGGAAGAGAATTAAAAGGCTCAGACAGACCCATAACAGGATGTGGAGATGTAAAGGACTAAGGGTAGTTGTCCTGGGCTGCATGTTTCATGTATTATCTCCCACGTAAAGCTGACAACCACTTGCAGTTTCTGGATTTTGCAGTTAGTAATGAGATTGAAGAGTTTAAATAACTGTCAATCTAGAGACCCAAGCCCCATGTTCTTTCTAGCAGTATGGTCACAGCACGGGGCCGGTAGGGAACAAGAGAAGATCTTCCTGACTTGAGGAGCTTAGGAGGAGAGAGGACCCAGGACTTACGGCACTCAGGTAGCATGCACTTCTCCACCTGCTCCAGCTCCTCATTACAGTCTCCCAGTTCCGCCAGAGATTTGAGCATCCGCTGCCGGGTCCGCATACCCTTCCCACAGCTCACACTGCAGTCGCTCCACTCCGACCAGGGAGACAGCAAGCATGGGATGGTGTCTAGGTCAAGAGCCAGATAAGCCCTGAGAATAGCTCCTTTGCTTTTTTCTCCCCTGCTCTGGCCCATGGGTTCAAATAAGACTGAATTCTCTGGAACAAGAAGTGGTTCCTCGAGCTACTTTTCTTATTCCCCTCCGCCTAGCTGGTGGTAATGGCCCAACCTCAGATGAGGTCAGTAATCTTAGCATAAAAGCGTCCAGTTGCAACAGTACTGAAGGTCTGAGTAGGACTTACTTTAGATGAACACCCTTCCCCAAGTCACGAAATAAAGGATATGTTCAAGGCTGCGTTTGGACTGAAATTCCTAGAATTTTGTATTTTTTGTGTGCTAGTGCACTTTACTCCTGACAGGACAGTGGGCCGGGCTTTCCTGTACTGCTGAGCCTCTAACCCTGTGGTGATACAGGGTGCTGGGGAGTTTGTTGTTTTTACCAGGCCTGAAGTCCTCTGCCCAAGCCTACCCCCCACGCCCACTCACGGCACTCAGGCATCATGCACTTCTCAGCCTGGGATGTCTCCGCCTTGCACATAGAACCATCAGCTGGGCTCATCTTGACCATGCGGTGCCGCTTCTTCATACCCATCCCACAGGTGGCGCTGCACTCATCCCACTCTCCCCACTCCGTCATCAGACAGCTGCTGGGGGCTAGGCAGGGTGGGGAGTTCATAGTCACATTGATGGCCTTGGGAATCTACGCCCCTTTCCCCTCACCTCCCATCAGCCCCTGCCTGGTCCCTTAACTCACAGCACTCCTCATTGACCGTGCACTTCTCCGTCTCCTCGGTGGGCAGTGTGCACACAGAGCCATCCTCTGGGAACTGCTTCACGTACCTCTCCCGGGACCGCATGCCCATGCCACAGGAGATGCTGCAGGGTGACCAGGTGATCCACTCGGACATGGTACAAGTGGAGCCATCTGCAAGGCACCCAGCAGGTGCTCAGTGGTAGGTAGATAGGTGCCCACTGGACATGCCAATGGACCCTCCCACCCACAGGAACCTGCTGGCCTTCGGGGGACCTAGCTGGTGGACTCAAACATCCAAGTCTGTATCTTTAAGCCAGGAACTGTTCTCTAGGAGGAAATGCTTTTCCAGCTGCACGTGGCATTACTTTCCATTTCAGAAAAACACATTTAAAAGATGAGTAAAAGAATGTTTTTATTTACACACAAAATCTAGTCTGGTCTGCATATATTTTAAGATAAGCCATCTAATCATATGGTCTAAATTGTATTTAAGACCAGTAAATAAAGCATTCACCTCAGTTATTAGTGTTTTAAGTTCTCAGCCCTGTTTGCATAGTGACTGTCTTTGACAGTACCAATGTGGAACATCTCCATTAATGCAGAAAGTTCTTTTGGAAGGACATGTAAGTCAAAGGCATGATACAAGTTCATACTTGAGTTATGGTGTAAACGTGCAGGTGAGTGTTGGTGAGTGTTGGCTCTAGCTTTACAGGGGAGCAAAATGCACTTGATAGAGATTCCAGGTATTAAAAATAAGAAGTCCGGGGAACCAGGTAGCACTGTCTTCTGAGAAAAGATCTCAATCTCATGACAGGGTTTAGTTTGCCAACCCCAAAGAAATAAGCCTTCAGCATTGATCAGCCACTCACACTTCCTGTTCATAGGAAATATACCTATGTATTATACACACATATGTACATATGCATATGTATGTGTGTGAGTGTGTGTATAGAAGTGTTTATTTCCCCCCAAAGTGGTCCATTTTTGGCAGGATGAGCAATAAACAAACTATAGTGCTTAGAGGCATTTCAACCTGCATCTGGGAATGGCCTGCAGTAGGGGAAGCCTTCTTCAGTTATTTTCCATTTGGAAATGGTTTTCTTCCTGCAGTGCACCAGTCTAGTCTGCGCCTCACTCCCATCCCCCCAAAAAAGCCTCACTCCATCTCCAAGAGTGGAAGAACAGAGCCAGAGAACAGATCCAACTAGGCAGAGAAAGGAGGCATGTCCTGGGAAACAGGCCTTTGTGCAGCAGTCAGCATTGTGCAATCTCCAAATCTGAGCCATCATAACTGAGGCATTCTAAGCCTGTAGATCAAGCTTGACCTTTGAGCACTGGGAGAATTTTTTGAATCAGCTTGAAGGTCCTAGCATGAAGCATTCCCTAACTCAGGCTAAGGTGGAATACTAATGAGGGACCATGAATGACAATTTCAGGGCAAAAGATTGAGATACAATCTCTGCCAATCTGTTCATGAGCTGCTTAAAAGGGGTTTGCAGTTAAGGCCCAGAAGCTGGCTACTTGTTACTTGTAATTTGCTATAAGACTTAATGTTTGTTGGTTATGCAGTTTATGTATATATTTCATTCCAGGGCTGAGGAGGGAAGAGGCCAGCCTCAGAAATTCTTGTGATAAAGCATATTCTGTATTCAGATGCCTCGTGATGTAGAAGGAGGGTTTTTCCAGTTGGAACTCACTGACAACTTGGATCAAGTTGATCCCTCCAGGGGCCTGGCCTGCCCATGTGGAAGATGGCGCACCTCCTTCCGAAGCTGTCAGCTCGTCTCTTACCTTCGTCACTGCAGCCAGGGCCCATGCACGGCTGGAAGTCTTGGGTGTCGGGACAAGGGACACTGAGGTCCAGCTGTGCCTTCAGCATGCGCTGCCTCATCCTCTTGCCTTTGTCACAGGTGGAGGAGCTGCAGGCCGACCATGGGGACCAGTTGGAGTAGATGCAGGTTTCAGGGGTGTCATCTGTAAAAAGTGTTTGACATGTTTGTCCTGGGGACTATAGAAGTCACAGCTGGCCTTTTCCCCAGACAAGGTAGGCCTTGCTGCTAGGCTAGCCTTTGTGAGCCTAGGGTGGCAGCAGCAATCCCCCTCCCTTGGAAGAGATTCTGTTTAAGGCTGAGAGCCGAGGATCATGGTTCAAAGCCAGCCTGGACAGAACAGTGATCTTACCTCCAATTACCCAGAAAAGGCCTGGAAGTTCCAAGTGTGTCTCAAGTGGTAAAACATCAGCCTTGAGCAAATAAAGCTGAGCAAGAACTTGAGACGCTAGTACTAGCATACACAGAAAAAATTCAACTTCAACATCCTGTTGATGAACCCTAGGAACAGTCTCTTCCTCTCCCTCCTTAACATACATCTTTTCATCACTAGTTACCATCCCTCACCTTGGTAGACTTCTTTCCACCTGTGGGTAGGAAGTTCCTAGACAATTTTAGGAAGTGTGAGGCCCTGTGGCCTCATACACGGTTGCCATGGTAACAGCAAGGGCAGTAGATGTTTGCTGAGCTAGCATTGTTTTAAGAAGCTTACATGCTTTATCCCGTAAGTCCTCACAATTCTGTTATTATGAACTATGACTCTGTCTCTTGTAACTTATGACTATAGATCTCTATATGACCTCTGTCCTTGCAGAGGAAGTGAACACATCTGTGCCTGCTCATGTGCCAATGTGAATATTAAAACAAGTGGACTGAATAAGCCTACAGAATTCTAGTTTCATGGTCACGTTTTGGTGGCATTAGGGTTTAAACTCAGGGCCTTGCACTTGCTAGATAGGCATGTGACTCCTTGATCCGTGTACACAGTTCCATTTTTGTAGTAATTTCAAAGGACTGATACTGTTAAAATGTATCTTCTAACATATCTTTACTATCAGTCCTACTGATGTCATAGCAAGCCTCTGTCACCTGATACTTGGTGGCTAGGCTTGGCCTTGTGTTTTATTTGCCTGGGGCAAATTAAGCACATGCTCTATCAAGTCAAAGGCTGTGACTCTTGATGGTTCTTAACATATTTGCAGGGTTGCTTTCCCAAAAGATCATGTCAATTTATATTGCCACCTGCAACAAAGAATAGCATACCTTCATCTTTCTCTTCTGGAGCCAGGTCAGCTACAATATCATCGACATTGTCGGGCACAATATTGCATTGTTCTCCCTGTAAAAGGAATTTTACTTGGAGGGCTCACACCAAAGAGAGAAGGGAATGTGTAGGGGGTTCTGGGCCAACATTTGCAACCTGACTGAAAGAAATGCAAGAAATCAAGGTTGTCTAGGCAGGGATTCTGGTCATGGCAGACGTGGAATCCTGATGAAATTTATCTGGATCAAATCAGTTTTTGAGCAGTGGGCCTCACTACTGAGTTCCTTTTGCTCATTTACATCTTAGGAAGTAGTTTACATACTAAAAACTCTAGGAGGGTCAGGACTTCTATATCCCAAGGTGTGAGGGACCCTTTGATTTTAAAGCAAAAGGAGTCTTCTTAGTCCTCCTGGGTAGATTTGAACCCAGTACCTTCCGAGCAATTCTCTCGATGACAACTCTGGCTACTTGAGTGATTGATCCGCCCTCTGGATCGTAGAAAGGACTCTGAGGATGGTCCAGACTGGTCAGGGGCCGAATTTTCTCCTGGGGAATTGTAGGTTTGTTTGGTGACTGCAGAAAAAAACCAAAAATGTAGAAAGTGGGAAATGTAAAAGCTATAATTTGTTATATGATTCAAAACACAAACTGATATGCTTTTTGTTGTTCTTGTAGTGCTGGAGATTGATCCCAAAGTCTCACTCTGATGGCAACTTAGCAAGTGTAGCTATATTTATAGAACTCATGCCATGTGCTATGCTTGGAAATTTATAGTTCTAGGCATTATAATTCTTTCATATGTGCTCAGATGTAGAAGCCAAGTTTTAGAGAGGTCATCACAGCTCTGAAATGGCAGAGCTGGTGTGGCCCAAATCCATGCTTCTTTCTATTGCACCAGGCGGCAAACTTTTTAATAGATCAGATGGCAAATATTTTAGGCTCTGTGAGTCATTTGAGGCTCTGTGAGTCATTTGTGACAACACTACTCAGTTCAGCCAGTATAGTGGAAAAGCAGCCCCAGAAGATAGGAAATTAGGTATTAGCTGGCTTTAAAAACTAAGACTCAGGGTATACGTTAGATCTGTTTTGAAAACCATAGCATGCTGATGCCTGTTCTAGACTGTTCTTCTATTGGTATTGATGACTCCAAATTTTGATTTTGGTCTGATATGCTGACTATCAACATATATAAAAAAATGCCCTGTTCAGGACAAAATAACTCCTTAGCTCTTTGATCTGGCCCAATCTTACACAACCCCCCAGCTTCTGTCTGTCTGTGTGTCTGGGTCTGTAGCACGCTGCCCCTGCTTACCTGTGACTCTGATTTTAGCAGATTTTTGTCCCTATCTCTTGGTCACTGTGTGATACTTCCTAGAGCTAGAGTCATTGTGTGGATTGATGAGACCATGCTTGACATCCCTGATGGACTAAGTTCTTTTAGGACAGTGTTGAGTCAGACTTGCCCTATGTCCCTGTTCTGGGACAGAACAGGGCTGGGGTACAAGAAAGTGCTTGGGAAGTTTGCCAGTACCACTACAGGCACACACCTACCTCGTAGGACACGCCGCTGTCAGTGCCTGCATCCCAGGGAATCAGGTCTTGCACTACCTTCTGGACCCAGCCACACTCCTTGGTGCACAGATCCTCTGCAGATAAACCCACATTCCAGTCAGGACTGGGGCCCATCATGGTCAGGAAGGACATTAGGTGGCGTGTCCTGTCCACTGAAAATTCAGCCGAGGGTGCTGCTCTCCTGGAAAGCAAATACAAAGGTCTTACATTATAGGAGGCTGGGGTACATAGTTGGGAGCCATCTGCCCAGATGGGGATGGAGGATGAGGGGCAGAGAGGAGGCAGTAAACCAGCCATTGCTGTCTACACTCATCTCTCTCCTCTCTTCAGTGGGACAAACATGAGGAGAGCCCTGTGCTGTCACTCTGTTCTTTTTCAGGGTTTCCACTGCATTGGTATTACTGCTTTGTTTAGCTGTTTACTGAGCATCTCTCACTGGAGTGTAAGCTCTGGAAAGCAGTTTTTTTGTGTACTTCATGCATGGCTTTATTCCCAGTGCCTAGAACAGGGAATACTCAGAATATATATACACACACACATACATACATACATATATACATACATAGAATACATTTATATGTAAATATGTATACATATACACATATACTTACCTAATACATATTATACTGGGGTGGTGGGGCCTCACACGCTCACTGAACTTGTTTGCTTAGCTGGTGCTCTACCACTGAAGCCACACCTCCAGTGTAGCTTTTTGCCTTTTTTTTGGAAATGGAATTTTGAAGACTTTTCTGCCCAGGCTGGCTTCAAAGTGTAATCTTCTGGATTCTGTCCCTCCTAAGTAGCTAGCATTGATTACAGGAGGTGAGCCACTGGTGTCTGGCTTTGCAAATAGTTTTGAAAAAGTGAATGAACAAATACATGTGCTCTGTGTGCTCCCAGCTGTGTCGAATGGGAGATGAACTATACGATAAAAATGCTTAATGTACCAAGCCTTCACTTACACATTCCCATTTAATCTATAACGGTTACAGATTGTTGATTAAAATATATAGGGGGGATGAGGAGAGGTGCTCAGGAGGGTCATATAATACAAAGTTAAACTGCAAAACAGAAACCATAACTCAAGCACATATTAGTTCAAGGTCAGTGTTCTTTCCATCAACTTCTAAATTCTCTTGGCCCCTTTGACTCTTGAGCATTCCTTTGTGCCTCAGAGGGAGATCCCCTCTTGCCTCTGTCCCTCCCCCCAGAGGCCACCTGTGGCAAGGCCCTGCCTGGGATGAGGGTGCACTCACTGACTCACAGCTGGTTCACCTTTGGCTGACCAGCTCCAGCTGCTTGGAATGACTTCCCAAGTCTACAACTACAAGGCTGCTCCTTGCCCTCCATCTCCTTGTGTTGAGAGAAGGGCTCAGCAGTAGTCGGCTCATGAGCTCTACGGTGATGGTCCACCAAAGAGGCTGGGAAAAGAAGAGCCCTAGTCACTCAGCACACTCTTAGTGGCCATCCTGTGTTATTCCATGACAATCCCATGGGCAGAATTAACATGTTTTGTGTAGAGGCAATGAGAGGGCACAGAGATATGAGTGAACTTGGAGACACAAGTAATAAGGGCTGAGGCTTAAAGGCAGCTCAGCATGATTCTATACCCCAGGCTGCTAATTATGGGGAACCCTGGGCTGCGGACCAACTGGCCTGTTCAGCTGGCAGCTGCCCTGCTCAGCTGTTTGGGAACGCCTGGACCAGTTGCTTCTGTTGCCCTAACCTGCCCAGTCCTGAGAACTACATCATTGGGTTCTGTTGGAAGATGGGACCAAACAGTAAGCAGCAGAGGAGGGAAAGCTGTGGAGTGGTCCTGGCACCACCTGTGTGCATTCTTGGACAAATGACCAAACCTTTCTGTAGCTCAGTGTTCCAAATCTCTAAAATAGGGATCAAGTGTGTCTGCTCTAAAGAATTACAGATGCCAACGAATGGCATCTGTATTCTTTTTACTATTATAGGTTGCACAATCCTATTTTGAACATTCAAAATCTGAAAGGCTCCAAACTCCAAAACATTCTGATGCCACAAGTGGAAAAAGTCCCACACCATGAAACTTCATTTAGGCACAAAATTGTTTTAAAAAATACAAAAATTACTTACAGGCTGTTATAATGTTCATATGAAACAGTGGAGTTTCATGCTTAGAATAGGGCTTAATTCCAAAGATAGCATATTATGAATATGCAAATACTACAAAATCCAAAGGAATGGGAAATTCGAGCCACCTGTGTCCCAAGCACTTTGGACAAAGGGTCCTTAGCTCTGCTGTAATTGACAGCAGCATGGTAGGGTTGGATGGAGATGGCAAAGGAGAGGGAAGGAGAGGCTTTCCTCAGTAGACCTCACAATGCAGCCTGCACAGAGTGGAGGAGGAGTCTGGCGTGGCCACCAGCAGGTCCACAGGAGCCTTCAGGAGGGAAGAGGAGGACCAGCAGGTTCTCCAGAAGTTTCTTGGGTTCAGCTGGGCAGGCCAGCGAAGAGAAGTGTGATGGAAATTTTGGCCCTTGGACCAGCAACCTTGGTAACTCCTGGGACTTGCTAAGTTTAGGGACATGGGGGCAAGGGGCAAATATTCCTGCAAGTGACCATTATGTACTTCAAGTGCACCACTAATCACTTTTCTACTCATTCTTCTAGCCTCAGCTCATGTGCTGCCTTTCTGACCTGCTGGCAAGAGCCCTTGGTCTGTCACACACTGCAGATTGCTGTAGCCAGTGACTGGAACTGCTTCCTCCCTGTTCTGCGTACCCTGCTAGGCTGGGAGCTCATTGAGGGCTGGAACTCAGCTCTCACAGCTGCATCCCAGTACCCCCGATGGGCTGACTGAACAGATGGAATTCTGATGGCAACTTGTACTCCTTCCTAGCTGCAGATCTTGAGCATTGTTTCATTCTGTGAGTCTGATTGTCTCCACCTAACAATACCTACACCAGGATACATCAGATGCTTTTTAAGGAAGACTTTACAAACTGCTGAATCGCCACGCCGACACAGTCTGTTATTCAATGTAGCCTGCCATAGGTTGGGAGATTTTCTTTCCTGTTCCCATGTGTGCACTTTTTTGGAATGTAGGCCAGTGTTCAGCGGCTTCTTTAAGGGCCGGGTTCTAAAAAGATTGCAGTCTTGGAGCTGTGGCACTGCTCACCGATAGACTCGTGAAACATGGCCCAGGCCTGTCTCACCTGTCAGGCAAGAACATCCAGCAGGGCTGCTTTTATTTCCCAGCTTGCCTTAGCCCTCAGAAAAGCACTCCCTTAGACGCAGACCTCTTCCATTGCCAGAGAACAATGGCACCATCCATTGCCTTCCTTTTTCCATAAGTTGTGATTCTGGGCCAGGTTTGTCAATCACATCCTCTACCTTACACCTATACCTTATGGGTGACACTATTTCACAGTGACAACATAAGGCGACAAAAACATCTCTACTGAGGAACTTGAGAAACCAACGCAATTCCACCTCATCAAATCATCCTGACCTTTGTTTAGTTCATGACATAACCATTTGAAAACAAGGCTTGTGGAAACCATTCTCAGTAAACCCATTTGGACCAATATGTTACAGCCAAGTCTGTAGCACCAGAGAGGTGAACTCCAGAGCCTGGTAAAGGTTTCCAGGGGCAAAGGAGCAGCAAAAAATGCCTGACCCAGTGTTGGGTGGCAAGGCAACTTTGAACCTCTAAGGTCTAGGGACAGTTTGTAGAATCTTTAGGCATGCCTTCATCCTTTCTCTTATCCTGAACTAAGAATTTCTCCCTAACCTTCAGCTGATGTAATGCTTCCTACAAGAAGTGTTTCCTGACTTCCTCACATAGCTTAGGCCAGTTATTCTACCTTCACATAGCATTTGAGCACATCCTTTTCTTGCAGCAGCAGCAACAACATCATCAACAACCACATCCTCAGCAGCTACCACCACTATCACCACCACCACCACCACTACCACTTTTTTTGTTGTTAGTACTGGGGCTTGAACTCAGAGCCTCTGTGCTGTCCCTTAGCTTTACCACTCAAGGCTGATATTCCACCACTTGAAACACAGCTCCACTTCTGGCTTCTTGCTGGCTAACTGGAGATAAGATCTCATGGACTTTCCTTCCTGGGCTGGCTTTGAACCGTGATCCTCAGATCTCAGCCTCTTGAGTAGCTAGGATAACAGGTGTTTTAGTACCCAGAATCCTAGGAACTTCTTGTTTAATGTCTGTCTTCTCCTTTTTCTACCAATGGAATATGGGTCATGCTAAGGCTTGCAATATGTCCTCTTCAAATATCTAAAAAGTAAATGAATTAATCTAAGGAAATGAATGTAGAGCTCTTATACTTCTTTAGCTCCAAATTTAATTAAAATCAAATACTTTTATTTTTTAATAAAAATTCTATTAAAGTAACTTTCTTTAGGAAATGCTAGATAGGACTGGAGTTCTTCAATTTGCTCAAACTATAAGAAAAGTTCTTATTTATGCATTTTTATATGCCATGTCTTCCAAGATGTGTTGCTAATTTGGTTTCATTTTATTCCACTTGCAACTTAAATTTGAATCAGTTTTCAAGCAAGGAGAGTTGATCTAGCCACAACACATACTAGAATATATGATAAAGCATGGTAGTCAAAATAGTATGATATACAAGTTAAAACAGAAATGTAAGTCCATGGCACAAATTGAAGACTCCAGAAACTACAAGTAAGGACTTACACAAAATAGTATGCCCAAGTTAGTGAAACTAAATGAGGTTGGTCTAAATTAATTACACTAGAAATGAAGAAAATATCAGACTCATCTGATGTCATACACAAAACAATAAATCTAGAATCAAATAGAAAACATCCAGATATAATCATAGCTACTTAAGGCAGGAAAGTCTATGAGACTCACATCTCTAATTATCCAGCAAAAGCCAGAAGTAGAGGAATACTGAAGGGGTGGCTCACTCAGCCTTGAGTGAAAAAGCAAGAGTGTATGCTTTCAGTTCAAGCTTCAGTACACACACACACACACACACACACACACACACACACACAAGCTTCAGTACACACACACACACACACACACACACACACACACACACACACACACACAACCAGATAATAAATACAGTTAAAACATATACATAAAAAAAAACACATAATATCCCTAATCGAGAAATCCAACATCTTAAACTTTTTGAGCATCAACTG